AGGTTGGTTCCATCACCTGACCATTGTAAATAGAGCTGCAATAAACATAGGAGTGCAGGTATCCCTTCGACCTGATGATTTCCAATCCTCTGGATATATCCCCAGTAGTTGCATTACTGTGTCGGGCCTTAAAAACTAACGCCACCTTAAGTGACATTACAAGCGGCGCCATTATGGGCCCACAAGGGCGTATTAACGTGGCAGCCTAAGAGGGCACTGGGAGGTAGGGTGGGAGTGTCTGCAGGAACCTTGCCTTAGCCCTTATTGGCCAAATATGCACTTCCTCACTCGTGAACACTGTGTGATTGCAATAGCTAGGCATTGAGACAGGATGCATGCTCTCATAACCTTTAAGCTGATTGGAGGATGTAAAAACCTCCCTTCCCCATTTGCCTTTAAAAGCAAGTGCTTGTGTGATAATAAACGGAACTGCTCGACAGAACCCCTGCCGTGTCTGAGTGTCCTTTAATGGGTTGGTTGGGGCCAGCGGCTGTGCTCACCTCTCTTCACAGATCTCTTCCCCCGTCTCTTCCCAACGGGGGCCGGAGGGAAAGAGGAATCCGGGCAATTCACTCTCCCATGAAGGGAGAGACTGATAATGAGGCTAGGGCTGTTCGGGTTGGCTGGTGGCGGACCCAACATTACTGGATCATATGGCAGTTCTATATGTACTTGTTTGAGAAGCTCCATATCGTTTTCCGTAACGACTGTACTAATTTACATTCCCACCAACAGTGTATAAGGGTCCCTCTTTCTCCACATTCTCACCAGCATTTGTTGTTCTCTGTCATTGTTATAATAACCAGTCAATGATTTTTGAGGTGGCAAGTGCCAAAAAGACTCTTTCCCTGCCTTGTATGTAAGAAGTTGTCCCTGTGTCACCTCTTTGAGGGTGTATGCCACTATACTAGTAAGTGTGGAGCTCACACACTTGCTCTGTTGGCCACAGATAGACCTGCCCCTGAGTCAGAGTCTCCTTTAAGGGCTTGTGGCCCTTGAAGTTTCTAACCTTAGCTAATTTGGGCTTTGCTGGGCAAGTAACCCTTCGTCTGACAACTGTTGGTTAGCTGGAACCATCTGTCCAAGTTGTTTCCTGTTACTCACTGCACAAGTGGTGCTGCCTGGACACCTCTCCAGGGATGTTGCTTTGGACTGCCCCTCTGAACCCCTTTAGTTGCCCCACTTTGGCTCCCGAAGGTTGCTGTGTTCCTATGTCCTTCACACAGCTCCTGTATTTTGTGGCTACTCAGAGGGGCTGTCTAGTCCTAAGGATTACCTTGGAGTTGACCAGGTGACTACGATCATGGCCTCTCTTGGCGTGGTTCTATCTGGTACTTTGACAAAGCTAGGACCTTAAATAAAGATGTCCCCCCAATAGTCAAGGACAGAGTTGGGTTTCATGATGCCCCATTGAGACTCTGCTGGGTTAGCTCATAGATTTGATTGACCTCTGTAATATTTTCTACTTCTTTTCCCATCAATCTATCTT